AAAAAAAAAAACCCACAGCAAAGAGAAAAAGAAAAGAGAACAAGAGGGGGAAAAGAAGTAATATTTTCCTTGATAAAAATGCACAAAAGGGAAGATGAACTTTGTTCTTTTTCTCTTTCTACTCTCCTCTCTTTTTCTGCTTTTCGCCTCGCAGCACGCCAGCCTAAGCTGAGAGCTGTAATGTCATTAAATTGCAAATGCTTTTTCATTTCCGACACACACTGTTTACTTATCTGGCAAAAACATATGTTGGAAGGAATCCGTTAAATTCTGCCCATTGCCTTGGGTAAAAGTGCAATGGAAACGGACCCAGTGAGCGTCTTCTTTCTTCTTCTTTTAGCACTCCCCTTATCTACAAGACTGCTTCGCAGCAAACTGGCTAGTTCAATGAAAAATGAAGATACAGCAGGAGATTAGAGAAGAACAGTGAGCAAAAAATTCCTGGAGAGAGGGTCACTTCATTGCAAATGATTTCACTTCTCTAGATCTGCATAAATTACTATTTTTAAGGCATCTCCAAAGTCTGTATATTTTTCTCACTCTGTCAAACATTTAATTTCACGCCCCGTGTTCTGAATATGCTAAAATGCATATCTCTGATGCACCTTTAAGCCAGAAAAACGAATGCAAAATTGAAGATAAAATGATGTGATTTGCACTACAAGCCTATTACTTGAGGTATTTACATATAGTTTACCTCTGCAGTTCTGAGAATGGTTTATTAAAAAAAAGAAAAAAAGAAAAAAAATAAAATAGGAAAAAAAAACCATAAAATAAAACGCCGGGATTAAGCTCATATAAATATGTATAAATCTTTGTTTAGAAAATAGATTTTGCAGCTGTTGTGTCAAAAAGTTCTTTTAAGATTCCGTGAAGAATTTTCCCTTTTAGCGTGCCTTTTAAAAAAGGAAGAGAGGAAGAAAAGAATTTGACATCCTTCTTTGGCAAGAAAAGACGCATGTTTTCTCCCCTAATACCTGAGGGTTTCCCCTTGAAGATCCACGCGGGTTTTCTTTTCCCCTCTCACATAAATCTTCCTAAAACTAAAAATAAAAAAATATATCCAATTTGGGTCCAATCTGTTGGAGCATCTGATTTGTTTGGACCTCTGCAAGAACCACGGTGGATTTCCTCCCGTTCAAAGGGGAGGAATAGTGTGGATTTCCTCCAGTGCAAAGGGGAAGAATATTGTCGATTTCCCCAAATTCAAAGAGAAATCTTTCCATTTCGTAGAAACAGATCAAAAGAGGGACGATTTCTTTTGCTTTGCCCACGAGTGGGGAAGCATTATTGCTGCAAGATATCCCAACATCGGGGGAAAAAGCCCTTCAGGATAATCTAAATAGGGATTTATTTATTTTTTTTTTAAAACGAAAGCGGCTCACTTAAACGGGAGGCGAAGGGCTGGCCAGATCATGTCCTTTTTTATTTTGGAAACGGATGCGCTTTTCATTACCTCTTGAGGAAAGGAAGGATGCATTCTAGGTCTGGCATCCTTTCTTCAAGTCCTTTGGTAGATATTGACATGGAAAGAAGGACTTGATGGTGCAGCCATCCTCCCCAGCATTGAGGCAAGCCTCCCAGCCATCCTTTTCCCTGGGACTCTTCTCTCCATCCTTTGCATAAAGACAGCAAAGAAAGATGCAAAAGGAAGAGCCAGCCAATGTGGTTCGGTTTCCAAACTAAAAATAGGGAGACCCCCTTGACAGGTTGCCTCTGTTTTGGTGGCGTTTGCTCAGGGAAACAGGTACTAGAGGAAAAGCTGGTGCTTCAAAGCCTGCATTAATGCAATTAAAAAGAAGAAAAGGTTTTGGCCAAAGCTAGATTGTATTGGGGGTGGAAGGAGAAGGGGGAGAAAAGAGTGTATGTCTGTTTGCTTACAAAAGCTACATTTGAGGGCTCTTAGGATGCGCTTGCTTGGAGTTTGGCTAATGACCTCTAGAAGAAGAAGAAGAAGATGATGATGATGATGATGATGAAGAAGAAGAAAAAAACTTCAACAGACACTTCCAGAAATTCAATTCAGGATTTCTCTCCCTCCTTCCCTCCCACTCCCCCAGCCCTTGATGGTTTAGCAATCCCCCTAGTGGTTATTTCCAGCGATATTGTAAGTACACAAATATATATCTGCAAATTTCTATTTGCAATGATAGCACCTTTGAAAGAGGCAGACAGAAGTGATGTCTCTGTGTGTGTGTGTGTGTGAAAGAGAGAAAGAGAGAGAGAGAATGAATGAATGAATGAAAGATAGGGAGCTTCCCTATTACAGCACAAGACTAACATTGCACGAAAAATGTGTGAACTCTATCTGCACGCATACTAAAAGAGATATAAAATATGATATTTTATATGCCTTTTTGCAGTGTCATCTCAGACAAAATATACCGGTATAAACCCATTTCCCCAGCATCTATTAAAAGTCAAAGAAAAGGAGTGCTAGTATCTTGTATGTGATGTGAGTCACCTGTTAGTCTTTGGTGCTAATTCTTCTGCTAGTAGCCACTCTTGAGAGCCTAAGACAAGACCCACCACAAAAAGAGTCAAAACTAAAGCAATCATGTAACCTGATCTAAAACAAAGATTCAGTTCTTGGTTTCAGAAGTCTGTGAGTAAACTATTCAGTCTATTGATGGCAAACTGAGACTGATATTCATCCAGGAGATGCAGTGGAGCAATGAACTGAAATCTAAATGCAGGAGTCCCTATTCTCAAGTATTTTCAGAAATAGCATTAAGGTTTCTTTTCTTTTCTGTTTTTTGGTAAATTGACTAGAATGAACATTTCATTTTTAAAAACAACTTTCCTCCATTACACTGCGTTAATATATTAACAGAGGTAATATGGCCCAAAAAAGCATGAGACATTTACTACTGCTGCTTGTGAAAATACACTGTTGAAGAACACATTACTAAAAAAATACAGAATTACTCAGAAACCACACTACACAGTACTCAG